GGTAATTAAACAACAGGCAAACATTCCCAGTTGATTTTTGTTCAATATTGATTTTGTATGTTAATGGGACACTATGCAGGAATTCAGGTTTTGTCAAACAGCGACCCCTAGAGTCGCTGTGGAGTACTTGTATTTAATGTTACTGTTGTAAATACCACTCACACAGAGTGTGACGTGACGTGTTACATAGTATACAATAGAGTGGCGAAGTTATGACGTCACTTTGTACGACAACTCGGAAGTTAGCGGCGCATGGGTTCCCTCGCTCGAAAAGCTATGCATTTTCCCCATAGACTTTTGGAAAATCGCAAATAATAAGATCTGTGTTTAAAAAAAAAGAGTTGTGACCCTTACACGTTTTGTTTATCAATATATATCAAGAATATGTTGTTAGTGGTGAGAATTTTCACGTGATTAAATACAATTTAATGGTCCAGTGGAAGAACTTTTGCCAAGTGTGCCAGAGGTTCTGGGTTCTAATCCGCACTAAGTATAGGTTATTTTCCTCATCAAATCTGATTGTTTATTAGTGGTTGTATATCAAGCAGGGACACGTTTTTTAGTACATTAGGTTTTGTGATTTCACCAAATATAGAGAGTCTCTCCGCAACGGATTGAAGCAAGACGGCCACCATTCAACCAGAAAAACGTCATATAACCATTCCAATAACTGTTCCGAAGCTGTTCAGTTAAAAAAAACTGCATAGTGTCCCTTTAATATTATTATGATATTAACCTTATTGGAATCGAAGTTAGGAATCGATAAGCAGAATTGAAATCGGAATCGTTAAACTTCAAACGATACCCAACCCTAATCACTGTGCATAAACTAGTTTATATTAAAAGTGATTTCTGACAAAGAGTAAGTATACAGCACAGCCTCAAGCTCAACAGCAAAAACATTATCAGACTCAATTGGATATGTTTGCATTTTTAGGATTCATGCTCATCTTGGCTTTTCTATCCTAGTTTTTTTTTAAGCGATATCCTAAAATGCCCATAAAATTCTACTGACAATCACATCAGCCAGCCATCTCGACCAACGGAATTAATAAATAATATTCAATAACATATCACGGTGCATAAGATCAAAAGCAGAAAATCTAGTGTGATGTTTAACACAATGAAGATCAGACTACCAGCCTGTTAAACGCTGCTAGACACACACACACACACACACACACACACAGTGCCCTGGGTGTCACAGTCATGTGGACTCACATCGAAGCGGCTGGTTGGCATGAGGGCAGAGGCGGGCGGGCGGAAACAGACACGACGTGACATGACAGAGAACACAACGAGAACGAGGTTTTAGGGGGTGTGGGAGTGTCAATAACCCTCTTCAAACCTCTAAACACTGACAGATCCTCCGCAGGCATCGAGGAACACACTGCGATCACTCATCCTGACCACATCAATACACACGCCACACTTCTGATACCAAAATATACATAGGCAGAAGCTCACGAGTGACTGCTTTGGAAAGCTTAGCACTGGAAACAACTCATGAGTCGGCCATAGACATATACACTAGACGTCACCTTGGGGTTCTAAGCACGCGTCAAAACCGCCGCCATCTTGGAACAGGGGTCTTGTCATAGGAAGTAGCTAGGTAATGCCTTTACTTCGAATTAATTGATGGTGGCGGACTTTTGTGCTGTGTATGATGTTCATTGTTCACACGAATGAAATCCGAACTAGGAAGAATGTTTTAATTTTTTATTTTTTTTTATTTTTCTGGAATCAATGATAAATACATGTCTGACCGTTGGAACGAATCAAAACAAAAACGAGAAAATCGCATTCATGATGATTTATGGGGATTTTATTTCCGTTAGACCTTTGTCTACGTTGACGCTGATGCATTAAAGTGGAGGAGCTCCCCTGTTACAAGATGGCGGCTCTATTGACGCATTCGTTCTGATGAACTGTCGTAGCCAAGGCGACATCTAGTGTATATATCTATGGGAGTCGGCGTTAGCAGCATGCTAAGCTAAAACCGTGACACTGGATACATCGGTTTTGAATCAGATTAAAGTATAATTGATAAAGTTTGGTATTAAATGAGTTTCTCAACTCAATAATCAAACACAGTTCTGACTGAATATTAGGGCTGTCAAACGATTAATCGCGATTAATCGCATCCAAAATAAAAGTTTGCGTTTACATAATATGTGTGGGTGCACTGTGTATAATTATTTTAGATATATAAATACACACACATGCTTGTATATATTTAAGAAATATTTTCAGGTATATTCTACATATAGATTTATATATAATTTATATATAAATATTATTATTTAAAATTTGATTTTCTTAAATATACATGCATGTGTGTTTATTAATATATTTAAGAAGAGTTCAGATGCAAAAGCCTCTAAATGCCATTTGAAATTTTCTTCAAGAATGTTAATTTTTATCAAGCTTGTATATTTAAGTTCAGTAATTTCACTTAAATGGCAATGAAGATTACCTATTAATTGCCATTTAAGTGAAATTACTGAATTTAAATATACAAGCTTGATAAAAATTATTATTCTAGAAGAGAATTTCAAATGGCACTTAGAGGCTTTTGCATCTGAACTCTTCATATATATATATATATATATATATACACAAAATAATTATACACAGTGCACCCACACATATTATGTAAACACAAACTTTTATTTTGGATGTGATTAACAGTGATTAATCATTTGACAGCTCTACTAAATATGGTTATCAGTTAGAAGCACGATGTATTAAATTACAGTATGTTTTGCAAGGGTTATTATAGTAACAACAACTTTTTTACAGTGTCATTGTACACATGTACTTACCATTATAATAACAGTAAATTATGCATAATTACATGCAACCAAACCATAATAACTATGTAGTTGCTTAATACTACTCAGTACTTAAATATATAATTACACTGTACCAATGACACCTTAAAATTTAGGGTTAGGGTTTGGTTTATGGTTAGTTGCTTGTAATTAATAGTTATCACTATAGAAACTACATGTAACAAAGTGTTATCCAATTGTTTTACAGATTTAAGATCAGATTTTTAGATCAGGTAATTCATGGTACATCTTTGGGGAATGTTGCTTATTACATGTTCAATAAGTTAATTACTATAGTAGTAAAAAAAGCTCCATAAAATAACACACGTATATTATGTGTTCATTAATAGCATTTCCATATGTAATAACACATTAAATTGAAAAATGCCTAAGACAGGAAGCAGCTGCAAAGCTTATATTCATAAACACAAATTAGCACACCCAGACACACATGAATTAATTGCAGTGCGAGTGTGCGTGTCATGGTGAACCGGCCTGCGCTGACCCCAGAGCTAAACGACAGGGATCTGTCACATTCCTGGCAGAGAAGTAGATTAGGGGAGAATTCACACACACACACACACACACACACTGCTCTCATTACATCCACACGCCCTCAACAGTCCACCATTGACATCGCAATCGGCACACACAATAAGTTTATTCACACACACAGTGTATGCACAGAGATTTAAAGGTGCAGTGTGTAATGTTTAGGGCCATCTAGTGGTGAGGTTGTAAATTACACGAAATAGAAGTTACGTGGGTGACAGGAAGTGATGTCGTCGTCTGAGACAGCAGAGAGTAGCCAGTTCAGCAATGAAGTTTCTTTACAAAGATGAATTAAGTAAGGGTTAATGCCCGACGAGGTGTCCATTGTCAGGTTTTAATGGACGACGGCGAGGCGCGAAACCTGACAATGGACACCGCGTCGGGCATTTACCCACTTATACCATGGTCACTTGCCAAATAAAACATTTTTAAAACATTATCTGCTAGTTTATATTTTAATTAGGCTAAATCAAGTTTTTACAAATAATAACTCGCCTGGTTTATTTAGCAACCGGAGATATTTATAGTCCGCTCAGCTTGTAAAACCCTTCAGGTTCAAAAATGCATTTTTTTTTCATGAAACACAAAGGTAGGCATAGTTATTTTTTTTATTACACATAAAACAATTAATCAAACAGGCTTCTTAGGCTTGAAACGCTGTACTCTCCTCCTGACAGCTGCGTAAAACTCCCGCAGGGTCTCATTCAGAGCAGCAGCGGTGTAATTTTCTTTGCGACGTTTCTCCGTTTTATTTACATTTTTTCTTTCTTCAGCAGCATCCCAGTCGTCAAAGTTGTCATATTCTCCATAAATGTTAAAAGAAATAACGAAGTCGCTCATTGTTGTATTAGTAGGCTATGTAATATCTAACTAACGTTAGATGTTTGTTTTGATCGAGCAAATTGTTAACGGATACTTTGACTGCCTGTTGCAATGGTTACTCACAGCTGTTGTGGGCAGCGCATTTATTTATTCATTTCGAATGGTAAACAGGCAGTTTCACCAGAACTACTTTACTAGGTGTCCTCTATCACTTTTTAACGGACACCCTGCAGCCAATCAGAATCGAGTATTCACCCAGACCATGGTATAAGAAATGATGTTTACTTGATTATTCAGTAAAACGATGTTATTGCGCATCATTGTTTTATTCGCTGACTTTAACACGCTTCTTTGGACGAAGAACAACATAGTGATGAAACGCGTTTGTCTGCTCAGGGCCACCGTAGAGTCATGTCGATGTAAGGAGACCCATGGTGTGTGAAGACAGAAACGGCTAATAATGTAATAAAAACATAACGGTACATTAAGTGAAATCGTTATACACCACTGAAAAAATAGTTCTGTCAACAGATCCTCCTAAATATTACACAATGCACCTTTAAGATTGTGTCTATAAGCCCGAATCATCCAAACATACAGTGAAACCTTGGAAAGGAGACACAGCAGACCGCTATTGCTGCCAGTCCTGATTAGGAGCGTAACTGGACTGAGGTCGGATGAGTTCCTGTGTATGTTGTGAGCCGTGGCCTGCTGGGTCGTGTTGATGCGGTGGGGTTTATCTGCTGTGTGTGAGAGGCATGCTCAGAGGACAGAAGAAAAGCAGTGACTTACTTCACTCGTTTCTGAGGTTCGGTGAGGGTCCCGGAGCCAAGACCAGGGACCGATTTACGTTTGCGTGGTCGACCAGGGCCGCGACGTGCTGGGCTGCGAGGAGTCTCCTCTTTCCTGGAGGAAAACACGCTGAATTTTTACTCAACTTTTGCCACTGGAGTCAAAATGTTATTGTGCAAATAATGACCCTTAGAATATTTTCAGCATGAGTTTCATAACTATTACTAATGCTACGTTCACACCGGACGCGAATAGGGCGTCAGGCGCGAATGATTTCAATGTTAAGTCAATGCAAAGACGCTTTACGTACGTGAAAAATTCCTGCGGCGCGAATGAGCCGTGGAGCGCGGCACGGAAGACGCGAATACGTCTCATTCGTTCGCGCGAATTGAGCGTCTGGCGCGTTAAGCGCGTTGCGCGCGAATGTGCCATTTGTGCATTCACGCGTTTGACGCGAATTCACGTCTGCCGCTCGAGTTGAAAAATCTGAACTTTGGCGTGAATTCGCGCCGCGTTAACCAATCAGGAGCCTAGCTGCTTGCTCACGTGGTGAAGTGTCTGGATGCTTCAATAAATTATTTTGTTAATATGACTAGTGGGATTATGCACAACAAAGCTAATGTTTTATCTCTTAAAACATTATTTTTATATACGAGACATGTTCATTTTGTATTGAATGTTATTCATTCCATAGCTAGATTATATGAAATAGTATTATGTTGTAAAGACAATCAACATATGTGCATAAGTTCGTGTCTGGACGTGAGAGAGGGAAAAAAAAAAAATCACAGGACAGGTTAATAACTTTTGGAAGCTGGCTCTATTTATCATCAAAACAAAAATAAATGACAACTAGATTAGGTGGATGAGGGCGAGGGTGATCCTCGCTCCGATGCGGGACAACATGTCATCAAACTGGGCGCGTGACAGGCGGAAGTACCGCTGACAGCGGCCGTCATCCAGCGCAGCTCCTGGAGCGAGCAAATGGTGAAACTCGCCAAACGGTTCGGCTCTGAAGGGTCCGGTGGACACAAATATACGGCGACGATGATCCCCACGCCACTGTTCTGCTCTCCAGAGTAAATACAGAGCGGTAACTCTCTTGATGAATGCTCGGTCGACATAAAAACAATGGCCGCCAACGGATTTCGATTCTGACGCGCGTAAATTTCACTTCAAACTTTTGTTTGTACGCGCGTCAGTTTCGCTCTTGACACGCGAAATAACACAAAGTGGTCAAGCGTCAAACTAGACGCGTCAGGCGCGAATTTGACGCGCGATTCGCGTCCGGTGTGAACGTAGCATAAGGCAACCAGAAGTTTGCTCAAAATTATAATTGTGTTAATTAATCAGACATTAAACAGTTAGCATTTTATATAAATTATTGCATAATTATTAAAAAAAAGTGGTAATGTAATAGGCATAACGACCATTTAGCGCGCTTTTCCCAAGCTACACTTCCCCCAAACGGTTCATTTAACCAACTGTGCTAACTTCATCAGATGGAAAGTCAACACAAAATGCATGGTTTTGATAAGCGCTTTGAGATGCGTCTTCACATTAGATCTTCTAAGCGACACAATTCAATTTCAAATGAGATCGCTCTGCAAAGAACGACGGCCTACATGTTGATACGCACTGAAAACTGGCTGTCATTTTCAACTGATTCGCATCAGGAAAAGTGGTAAACTCCTCATTATTTCCAAATTACTATTCTGCAAACATAATTCAAAAACAATCCATGTTTAGATTTTTTTTTAAATAAAATCGCTGAAGGTTTGATTGGAAAGCTCAATTTGGGGATTTAAGCTCTTTACATCTGGCAACCACAATGCAAGATCGCGCAAATGTCAAATAAAAAAATATAAAGAAAAAGCCTGCATATATCGCGATGATTGTTACAAATAATTAATCGAGAGAGGAAAATATCGGCATCGCGATTGAAACACAGTTAATCGTGCAGCCCTACGCCTACGAGTGTTTGCATGTAAACTGCGATACGACAATTTGGTAACACTTTACAATAAGGTTCATTAGTTAACATGAACTAAGAATGAGCAATACTTCTACAGCATTTATTAATCTTAGTTAATATTAATTTCAACATTTACCAATACATTATTTAAATCAAATGTATTTATTAATATTAGTTAATGCACAGTGAACTAACAAAAATGATTAAATACTGTAACAAATGCATTCCTCGTTGTTAGTTCATGTTAGTACATCAACTAATGAACCTTATTGTAGAGTGTTACTGACAAAAATGTATGATATCATTGAAAAGTGACACAGATCACCTTTAAGCAAGTTCATATTTTGAGTGTTTGGTAATGTCAGGCTTACTGGTGGTCATGCTTTCTCTGGAGTTTGGCCAGCTCTTTCTGCTTCTCTTTGTAGCGCTGTTGCAGCTCTGCCAGCCTCACACGCATCTCCAACTCCTGCCCATCCATACTGTCCACACCCTTCACTGGACACACCTACAGGGAACACAAGCACACCCTTCCCTTAGTCGCTGGTTAGCGGCTCCAACCTCAGATGACTGGACAGATTTTTGCTTTAAAACTAGAGATGCTCGATATATCGGTCACCATATCGGTATTGGTGATATACGTTTCTTTTTAATGTTATCAGCCTCATAAGGAAATTTGGCCGACATATTAAAGCAGATAAATAAAGTGTTATTTCCTTCAGCTGAGACACTTCAGATGCGCACTGTTCAACATGACGGTTTTGAAATGCTTGGAATATGATTGGAATCACTTTAAAAAAGGAAAATGCAGTAAAGTGCAACAGTCGGTCATATCGCCTACATAAAATTATGATGAGAACATAATAATTGTGACATGGCAGTTAATGGTGAGCAGTGTTGGGAGTAACGCATTACAAAAGTAATACATTACAGTAACATATTACTTTTTGCTGTAACGCAGTAGTGTAAGGCATTACTAATCAATTTTCAGTAATATTTTACTCGTTACATGTTCAGTGAGGCTTGTATTACAGTTGTATTACAGTGTATTGTCTGCTTTTACTTCTTAAAGGCAACAGACTATGTGAAAGTTTTAAAGCAGTCTTTTAGTGCCAGTTCAGAGCGGTCGCGTCTGTAACATTGTTTTTTCCTCATAAATGCGAACACGAAAACTAAAATAAAATGAATATTTTAAGTTCTATGGAGACTGGAGAGCCAACCCTTCCTCATCCGATTTGCGCAGTGTAATTAACAGAATTACAAAAAATATATTTTGCCTCCTATTTTTTTTTTGTCACGCATGAATGTGTGTCTTTTCCCTAATATTAAAAATAAAACATAGACTGATATTTGTCTAATGTCTGGAGTCCTTTAAGGAAGTAGCCTATTTTCAATACATGTATTTTCTGAGAATTTTTATTTCAAGTTTTGACTGCAAATGTCATTTCCATAATACTGAACTTCCCCAATTTTAAATAATTTATCCTCAACTAGTTTTGTGGTGTAGGTCTACGTATTTTATAATGTTAACTTCAAATAATACTAATAGCCTAATTTAAAGATAAGGCAGCATTGGATCTGGACGGTGAGGAGAATAACGCTGGAGTTGGAAGAGGTGTGTCGCGATTCTGTAGGTTCGTGGATCTGAGTCGTGTGGCGAATCGCGATTTCGGTTTCATATTGCATATCGTTAGAAGCCCCAAAGTTAAGTTCTACTTAGTTATTTTGGTGAAAGTAACTAAAAAGTAATACATGAGTAATGTAACGCATTACAATTCTGGGACAGTAATATTGTAAGGTAATGAATTACTTTTAAATAACAGTAACAAGTAATACCTAATGTATTACAGTTTGAAAGTAACTTGCACAACACTGATGGTGAGACTTTTGTTTTTGTAATCAGGCTCTCAAAAAATATATAAAAATTTGGATTTAGACGTATCGGCCAATATATCGTTTATCGGCTATGAAATATAAAGAATTATCGGTTATCCGTTTTGAAATATATAAAATTATCGGTTATCGGCTTTCAATTATATAGAATTATCGGTTATCTGCTTTCAAATATAAAGACTTATCGGATATCGGCTTTCAAATATTAAGAATTATCGGTTATCGGCTTTCAAATTTATAGAATTATCGGTTATAGGCTTTGAAATATACAGAATTATCAGTCATCGTCTTTCAAAAATATAGAATTATCGGTTATCGGCTTTCAAATATAAAGACTTATCGGATATCGGCTTTCAAATATAAAGAATTATCGGTTATCGGCTTTCAAATTTATAGAATTATCGGTTATAGGCTTTGAAATATACAGAATTATCAGTTATCGGCTTTCAAATATAAAGACTTATCGGTTATCGGCTTTCAAATATATAGAATTATTGGTTATCGGCTTTCAAATATATAGAATTATCAGTCATCGTCTTTCAAAAATATAGAATTATCGGTTATCGGCTTTCAAATATAAAGACTTATCGGATATCGGCTTTCAAATATATAGAATTATCGGTTATCGGCTTTCAAATTTATAGAATTATCGGTTATAGGCTTTGAAATATACAGAATTATCAGTTATCGGCTTTCAAATATAAAGACTTATCAGTTATCGGCTTTCAAATATATAGAATTATTGGTTATCGGCTTTCAAATATATAGAATTATCGGTTATCGGCTTTCAAATATATAGAATTATCGGTTATCGGCTTTCAAATATAAAGAATTATCGGTTATCGGCTTTCAAATATATAGAATTATCGGTATAGCCCAAAATGTTCATATCGGTGCATCCCTAGTTAAAACCTTTCTGAATTTTTGCTTTGTTACAGTCATTGTGACACAAAAAGTACTAAAGAGAGAGAACACAAGTAAAGTAGGAAGCAGAAAACATAATTGTAAGATAGAGTATACAAATAACTGAGCATATGTAACATAATAATAACAACACATATTATGAACTACATGAAAAAAACATGCACATGAGAGAACAAAACAAGGGTGTGTTACCGGCTCATGGCGAGGTGTCCAGCTGCATTTTCTGCGCAAGTTGAGAGATCTTCTAGCCGGAAACTGCATCTCCACATCTGTGGCGCCACCGTCCTGAGAGCCCAACTCAAGAGCACGAGCGGCTGCCAGCGTGGCCAGACTCTGCAGGTCGAAAATCCACTGATCTTCTCCTTTTGGTAGAGAAAAGGATATTATTTGTCCATATTTTTTTGCAGGACACTATAGTTCATGTATAAGTGAGGAGAGCAAAATAAAGTAAACTGTGACATATTATACCAAGAAACTCTTCATACAGTGACTACTGATAACATTTATACAAATTTGCCAGCAATAATTATTCCGACTCTTTGACCTGACCATGTTTTGCTGAAGTGCGTTTTTTCTGTAACTGCTAATGCTCTTTTTACACACAGACTGAACAACATTAAGCATTGCTTGGTAATCGGTTGATCTAAACTGGTATTATCTAATTGTGTAGTTAAATTTAACAGCTGACAGATATTCAGCATAATAAAAGGACGGACAAAACCAGTCAAATATCCACTGATCTGATAACTCTGAGTCACGTTTTATTACCATTTAGCGAATAAACTGTGATAATGTGAGACATGTTAAAGGTCTGAATAAGCTTTGGTTAGACTGGTCATTTCTAAACGGGTTCTCACACAGCAAACATACCTGGAGTTTTACTGCAGCTCTGGCGATAGCGCTGCAGTTCGAGATCCGCCAGCTCACTGAGCAGCTCCATGCCGTGACAGGAGGAGTTCAGCGGGACGCAGGATCCCGGGGATTGGTAGGAGACGGGAGGAGAGGGAGGAGGACAGTCTCCACAGAAAGCGGCCGCAATCAGGAGCTCCAGACTCCAGTAACTCGACGTGGGACTCTGGGAGCAAGTTGGAGACTCAACGGTCGCACAGATTTCCTTGTGATTTTCCTCATCAACCACTGGAACCTCTGCTTGGGCGATGGCGTTTGGTGAACAATCAGAGACACATGGTTGTTGTGGTAATGGTTCCTGTTCCTTTAGTGTCTCTAGACTGGAAGATTGAAGAATATCTTCACCCACTCCTTCCTCAAAGGTAACAGTTGGCTCTTCTTGACGGATTTCCTCCTCGGATAACAGGGTAGGTCCTACTTCACAGTCTGAAGCTTCAACAGGTGTGCAAATGATCTCGACGCACTCCTTTTCCTGACTAGCCTGTATGGGTTCACAGCATCTCGTCTCTACATCGTCCCCTTGCTCAAACACACCCTCGGGCTGGTCCTCGGCCGGGCGTGTGGCGTCGACTTGCATCGTTGGCTCTTGGAGAGGCCTCACCATTGCATGGCAGTCTAGGCCCTCTCCCAAGCTGGAAAGAGCTGGAGGAGTGTGTTCAACGGGTCTAGTCTGAACGTCCTCGAGATCCGCGGGCTCTGCGAGCTGTACATCTTGAGCGCTGGGGCCGTTCCTGTATCCCATGGTGATTTCTGGATAGGTATATCCAGGTGGCAAATCTGTGACAGGGAACATAAATGAAGCTCAGATGCGTCAAGAACAAAGCCTTTAAAAAATATCACCATAAAAACTTGTTTTACACTTTTGACAACCTGTTTAATCTTCATCCTTCCTTCGCATTTTGTAATGCCTGGTTCAGATTACACAATTTTAGCCCGATTTTGGCACGATCCGTTTGACGTAGGGTGTCGTGGGGATTCGTAAACGACAACGGGCGTCGGGACGCAAGATTCGATCGCATCATCTCGTATTGTGTGTCATAGTGGGCGACAACCTACGTCCAACCTACGTCTTCGTAGCTTTTCCGTACACAACTTTCAAAAATGGCAAAACGAAAGAGAGACGATGGTGCTAACGTTAAAACTAAAAGTAAAAATATATAAGAATACAATATTTTACCTCAATTTCTCTTTGGTGGATTGACAGCCCATACTGTCCTCTTCGAGCAATTAGGAACGTGTCCATTGTCGGGTTTTCTTTCTTTTTTTTACTTTTTTTCTGAACACAGGATAGCCAATACAACACTCACCGCTTCATCCATTGTTTGTTTACGTTCGTTTCCGGAAGTCACTTGCTACTAGTTTCGCCTTCTCGATGACATCACGCGCGCCATTAAATACGGCATGCGATGACACGAGAAGATTTTAGGAGTCAAAATCGTGTAATTTGACACAGTGACTATCGTAACAAACAAAAAAAAAATGCGTAATCTGACGCAGTGACTATCGTAACAGACAAAAAAAATCGTGTAATCTGAACCAGGTATAACACATCTTTCTCTCGCGGGTCAAAATGACCCGAAGCCCTGAAATTATATCCTTTTTTTTTTTTGTCCAGAAAGCGTTTTTTTTTTTTTTAAATTACTAGTTTTGATCAATAAATAATAAATGAATAGTAATTTAAGCATATTCTACACAACTTAAATTCAAAATAATTGAAAATTTCAGCTTTAATTCAGCTCAAAATATCTTGCATTACATCTTAAATATCCGAAAAAAATAATATAAGATGATATTTCATGACTCTTTCTAGATGGGCTTATATCTCTATATGGAGCAAATGAGCTGTTGCCCTGGGTCCTAAAGTCAGTTCCCTTCAGAGGCATTCAGACACACATGTAGACATTCTAAAATATATTTTTGGTAAAGTTTTAGCATTTTTAGTTTGAATTTTGAGCATTTTTAGTTTTTCAATGCGTTCTGAAGCATTTCTCGCATCCCATTCATTACTTAAGGGGTCAAACTGACCCACGAGCGAAGCATTTGTTACTTTTTTACATTTCAACCACAAAACTCCTCGAGTCCATTAAAAATGTTTTGTTGTGTATTCGTGTTTCAAGCGCGACAAACGTCCAAGGGTCTTGACCCCATTGCTGAACACTCAATTGTTGTTTTACACTTTTGACAACCTTATAAGGATGACTCGTTTGTTTAACAAGCTTTGCGCCAGAGGTCTGAACAAAAACGCATCGTACTTCACATGACAGTGCCACTCTGCCTTGATCTTAGCTCTTTGTTAAGAAGTGCAGCTGCTAAAGGGGTAATTCTGAGGTAAAGCAGGGCTCTCTCTCTGACACGGCCATATCCTTGGCATGCTGCGACACTTAGAGAGGTGTTAATGATGATCAAGAAGGTGTAGGCTGGGGGATGGGGTGAGTCTAGACGAGGTGTTTCTCCATCTATACCGATGTGATGGCACTGGGGAGCTGAGCTGGCGGACATTTTCTGCATTTATCAGCAGCTTTAGTCAATCGTGCTCTTGCCTATATAGCCGCCCACACAGAGCCACAGAGTCTAAAAAAAGCCTTGATTGTTTCTGCATGAGGGGTTCAGCATGAATAACAACCAACATGTGGCTTGTGTGTTTTTGAGGCATGGTGAATTGAAGCAGGACGACGCCAAATACAGGTGTAAACTGAGGTCTGAAGCATTTTGAGCTTGTCTACATTCAACCACTTCCAGAGGGAGTTGAAAACACATTCAACTGGATTCCTTTCGTAGTGTAAACAACACTCATCTGATCGAATGTGTTCAAAAGATGGTCTACTCTCCGTCTACTGACGTCATGCGTGAACTTTATGAGAAGAGCTCTCTTTTTAGTGAGTTAAGGTCCTTGCACACCGAGTGCAAAATTTTTGCAAGTTAAAAAATAAATACGACCTCAATCGCTTCTAAAACTTCCAACCGTCATGAAAAAAATTGGATCGGGTTCAATTATCTGAGTTTTTTCGAATCCATAGCAAGTGTTTTGAGAGACGTTTTGACAATTCAAAGCCACTGAATGATGAATAGGGTTGGGTATCGAGAATCGAGTATCGATTGGAACCGAGACTAACTTTTCATTTTTCCCGGAATCGTTCAAAAGTTAAAATTTCGATTCCTAGTTTCGATATTCACAGTCCGCCGAGCGGAAGAAGAAACCACTGAACAACACCAAAGAAGAAGCGTCTACCGGAAGTGTTGGCATAACCGCGCGAGTCGAACATGAGTACCTTACGTCGGTGGTCCAAAGTGTGGCTTCACTTTTCTAAAAATAACGAAATCTCGGCAAAATGCAAAATTTGTGATGGAAAAGGAGTATTTCCTTCAGAAAGGATTATTTCCTTCAGAAAGACCATTGGTTAGCAAGGTTAGCTAAACTTTTTTGACCCCGCCTCTTAAAAGAATCGCAATCGAGAATCGTTAGGAACCGGAATCGAAATAAGGAATCGGAATCAGAATCGTTCAAATTCAAACGATACCCAACCCTAATGATGAATATGGAAAAAAGTCCTATTACACTATTATTTTTTTGTTACACAAAGCTTAAAATTAGGCCGTTTACAGCTGGTATTGAGATGCGTTTTGGTCAATCGGGTCACAAGTGGACGACGCTAACCAAAGGTGTAAACTTGAGCTTGTCCACTTTCAACCACTTCCAGACTGGATTCGACTGGATTGCTTTCGTAGTGTAAACACTTGTGATTCAAAAGATCGTCGTACTGACGTCAAGCGTGAACATCATGAGAAGAGCTCTAGACAGACTAGGGCTGGGTAAAAATATCGATTCATCAATGCATTGCAATTTTTTGCTTCTCAATTCAATATCGATTCATCAAATCCTATGAATCGATTCAGCCATCCAGGCCAGTGGCGGCGCTGTGGGCTACACTCTAGTGAGAGCGTTCAGCGTTGTAGAAGTCGCGCTTTAGCAAAATAGCGCGATGACGGACAGCAGCTGCACTCTGTTCAAGCAGGCGTTGAAGCCTGATTCAAGCCTGCACCGACATTAAAAGCCGACGTTTTGGCTCATTTTGGATTCCACTGTAAGCCGGGAACTATGGAAGCTTGTTTCCGCCACAAAATGGAAAATAAAAAAGGTAATTGCGACTTTTTATCTCACAATTCTGACTTTTTTTTCCTCACAATTGGGAGTTTACATCTGGCAATTCTGACTGTATTTCTCAGATTCGCGAGATATAAGTCAGAATTGCGAGATATAAAGTCAGAACTGCGAGATATAAAGTCACAATTGCGGGATATAAAGTAAGAATTGCGTGATATAAAGTCGCAATTTCGTGTTATAAAGTCAGAAATGCATGATAAAGTCATAATTGTGAAATATAAATTATTCTGAGAGGGAAAAAGGTTAGTCTTTCCCCCCCCCCCTTAGAATTGGCCTGATAACTCGCAATTGCTGTTAAGTGTGATCAGCTGTTAAGTGTTATTGTTTACAAAATTATAATATAATATTAGACTTTTTTTGAGTATGCACATTTTGTGCTTCTGTTTACATTTCTTTTATAACTTGAATGTTTAGGAAGAAAGAAATATACGTTCTACTACTTAGTTACATGCACTTTAGAGGTGTTGTTAAAGCACTGTACAGTTCTTGTCACAGTTGTAATTGAATTCAACACATACAATATTGTACAGTTTATTCTGCTGAATAAACCATGACAGGAAACAAACATGCTGGGGTCAATTTGTTCTTTAACATTGGTAATACTGCGCACATTATTTAAAAATATACTCAGGCACTTAACTACTTGTGTATTTACTTATTATTGAATCGACGTCGAAGCTAATAAATCAATATTGAATCTAATCGAAATTGAATCGAAGCCTCAAGAATTGAAATCGAATCAAATTGTGAAATACCTAACAATACCCAGCCCTAAGACAGACAGGGTTAAACTTCGACAGATGAAGACACAAGTTTGTTTTGAAAATGAAAACATACCAAGCACAATGTTCTCTCACAATTCCTGATTTCTAACACACACTCCCAGCGTTCGGCTGGTCTCGAGTCTCTCAGAGCAGAAACTAAAGCTGATGCTCTCCGTGTGTTTCTCCGTCGTCTCTGGACAAGCAATCGGACAAGCTTATTGTGTCCATTAGATCAAAGATCTTAAAAAACCCACACATTTACCCATCACAGACCCTCAACTCGAAGAAATCAGGACAGAAGTGTTTGAAAGTGGACAAAAGAGACGAATTAAACACCAGGTGTGAACGGGAATGTTTCCCTCGTCCACTTGTGATCCGATCGACCAAAACGCATCTTAACACCAGGTGTAAACAGGGCTTTAGCTTCAAAACAGCGACAGAAGACACAAGACTGTTTCAAGTAATTAACACACGGCTCTGAGCAATACTTGATTCTGATTGGTGAATAGAGCCATCCAGCGATATGTTATTCATCATCCGGGTCAGCAGCACTATACGCCTGCTAGGAATGGTTATTCTTCGTGAAAGTTTTGCTTTTTGTGAGCTAATGAAATATTAAAAATCAGTATTATGTGTTTAAGTTATTTAAAGGATTAGTTCACTTTTGAAAAAACTTTTGCTGATAATTTACTCACCCCCATGTCATCCAAGATGTCCATGTCTTTCTTTCCTCAGTCGAAAAGAAATTAAGGTTTTTGATGAAAACATTCCAGGATTTTTCTCCATATAATGGACTTCAATGGGAACCGGATGGTACAAGTATCAAAAGACAGTTAATAACAGTTTCAGATGCAGCTTCAAATGTCTTTAAACGACACCAGACGATGAATAAGGGTCTTATCATGCGAAACGATCGGTTATTTCAAAACTTATTCCAAAAATGTAACTTTTATAAGGACAAATGCTAGCCTTGCTAAATTCTGTGAGGCGCGTTTGTAACGTCACGTAATACGTAATTACATTCAAAAGGTCACGGGCGACGTAGCCGAAAGTACAGAGTCAGTGTTTACAAGTTGAACGCATAGGTTGAACGTGAAAACTAACTCAAACACCGTTTACAAAAAAAGGAATTAAAAGGAAAAACAACGATGTCGGACGATTTTGATTCTGTACTTCCGGCTACGTCGCCCGTGACCTTTTGAACGTAATTACGTAATACGTGACGTTACAAACGCGCCTCAGAGAATATAGCAAGGCTAGCATTTGTCCTTAGAAAAGTTACATTTTTGGAATAAGTTTTGAAATAACCGATCGTTTCGCATGATAAGACCCTTATTCATCGTCTGGTGTCGTTTAAAGACATTTGAAGCTGCATCTAAAACAGTTATTAACTGTCTTTCGGACCTTGAACCATCCGGTTCCCATTGAAGTCCATTATATGGAGAAAAATCCTGGAATGTTTTCATCAAAAACCTTAATTTCTTTTCGACTGAGGAAAGAAAGACATGGACATCTTGGATGACATGGGGGTGAGTAAATTATCAGCAAAAGTTTTTTCAAAAGTGAACTAATCCTTTAATTATGCCATCCAGTATCATGTACTCGCTCTCTCATTTCACACAAACGCAGTGGCGGCCATTTTACGACACTGTTGGATTATAGGATAACACACAGGTACGATTTTAAAACAGATTAATCTGAAATCAATTTCTCTTATCCCCATAACTATTTATGTGGCGAAATACCATGTAATAAGTGGTGTATACTGGATCTCTTAAATGTCCGTCTAGTTTGAACTGCACAATATTTGGTGTCGACTTATTTACTGATGTGGCAAGTAGCGTTTAATAAGCGGGATGATGTCCATCCAGCCGATTGTTACCTCAGGACAAACCCCTTCAGGGGCGGATGAAGACCTGGTCCTGATCTCCCTGTCGGGGGTTATTCTGAGATGGATGTTCATTATCCCTTACACACAAGTAAAAGCATTGTATGAGAGTCTTATATTACTGCTCACCAGGCTCCATGGACTGAGGATAGTCCTGAGGCGGCTGGCCTTCCGCCCTCTTCTCCTGGGACTCCACAGCTTTGGGCAGCTGTGATGGGGAAGGGCTGATGGCCGGGGAGCGCGGCGTCACAGCGACCGGACTCGGGGCGGGACAGGGAGTAGAGGGGGTGCTTTTAGGGTGAGGTCGCATACAAGGGGACCGGCAGCAGGGGGACAGGTGTGCAGTGGACCCCCTGGGAGGAGAGGAAGCCCGGTTGGACGGGCCGTAGGAATAGCATTTAGCAGGTTTGGGAGTCCTTGGATCTGATAGGATGTCTTCTAGATCCATGCTCTGCTCTTCTGGTTTCTTTTGCACCTACGCATTAAAGAAGTCAAGTCACATTTATTTATATAGCGCTTTTTATAATACAGAGATAAAATGAAAATAAATGCAACAAAGTTTGTTCCCAGAAGAAAAAGAATGACGGAAAGTCGGAAAGTCAGAAAGGAAAGAGAATTCAAGCCTCGTAATGAGATCTGGACAATTTGGTTAATTAAAGGAAACTGACATGTATTCTCAAGACTGCCAGGTCACGCAAGCTACACATCAATGTAATTGCAATTGGACACCCCTGTATTGCTGAATCAGGTTTCAATCTAGACCCTAATGGCTCAGATCTATTGATTTTGACCTGCAATCAAAAAGAGTAGTGCTTGGTCCGATCACGCCACAGTTCATGGCAGACTGCATTTAGTTTAAAATGGTTCTTGGAGGAAGTATGGATCCTAGGGAGCAGTTGTGGGAACACAACTCATGATTTATTGGCTCCAAATGTTGTTTACTCCCCTGCACACAAAAACAACTGTGTAGTTTGACGGAAAAGAGCACATCCTCTCTCAGTATCAGGTGTCAAACATTAGCTCATTTGAAAGCCCAGCTGTTTCTAGACCTCTGCATTTTGTACAGTCTGATATAAAACGGCTATTTGGGAATCGAAAACTTGAGGTCAGGTATCGGTAGGGTTGGGTATCGTTTGAATTTGAACGATTCTGATTCCGATTCCTTGTTTCGATTCCGGTTCCTAACGATTCTCGATTCCGATTCTTTTAAGAGGCAGGGTCAAAAAAGTTTAGCTAACCTTGCTAACCAACGGCCTTTCTGAAGGAAATACTCCTTCTGTAAAAATACTCCTTTTGTCACAAATTTTGCATTTTGCCGAGATTTCGTTATTTTTAGAAAAGTGAAGCCACACTTTGGACCGCCGACGTAAGCTACTCATGTTCGACTCGCGCGGTTATGCCAACACTTCCGGTAGACGCTTCTTCGTTGGTGTTGTTCAGCGGTTTCTTCTTCCGCTCGGCGGACTGTGAATATCGAAACTAGGAATCGAAATTTTAACTTTTGAACGATTCCGGGAAAAACGAAAAGTTAGTCCCGATTCCAATCGATACTCGATTCTCGAATACCCAACCCTAGGTATCGGATGCTTGTTATAAAATGTTTAATTTCGATTCCTCTTATCGATTCCTTTGTGAGCATTTCAATATGACTTTAAAAAAGGCGACTCTAGAAGTATATTGGGCAACTTTTAAAGTGACAGCAGCAGCCGTCTATAATAACACTAATCAAACAACAACAAATAACTTATATAGTTGTGATGTGAATTTTATTTATAAAGTGCAGTGTTATTTTACATTTGATTACCGTTTCTGTGCCTGAATACCTAGAAATCTTAAAACTGTTTATTTCAATCGTATCTTTGTTCAATTTGTGGCTATTGCTATTTTTTCATTCTTTTTTTAATTACTGAGTGTTTACTTGTCTTTAATAATGATTGACATGTATACTGTATTAGTTAGGCTAGTCGTTTTTCTATGGTTTTCTTAAACCACAGGCACACGTTCCTTACATAAGTGTTCTTCAGCCTGTTGGTTTTTGTTCATGATATTCAGCTGCAATAAAAAGTTTTGCAATAAGACTAAATGTGAAAGATATCTAAGGTTTGTTTTTAACCTTATTGGAATCAAAATTATTAGGAATCGATAACAGAATTGAAATTGGAATCGTTAAAGGTGCAGCGTGTAATGTTCAGGGCCATCTAGTGGTGAGGTTGTGAATTGCACGAAACAGAAGTTACGGAGGGTGACAGGAAGTGATGTTGCAGAGCATAGCCAGTTAAGCAAAGGTAAATTAAGAAATTAGGTTAACTTAATTATTAACCTAAGTATCCGTTTAGGGCTCCTGTAGAAACATGGCGGAGCAAAATGACTATTTCAATGTAAGGAGACCCGCGGTGTTTAGCTCATAATTAAAAATAAAAACACAACGGTTCATTAAGTAAGGTTGTTATACACCACTGAAAACATAGTTATGAATATGATATTGTATTTCTGTCAACAGATCCTCCTAAATATTACACAATGCACCTTTAAAATTCAAAATGATTTGAGCTATATGACAGGTTGTGTGTACCTGGCTGTTGGCTCTCTAATTAAATGTTTTGCAATAAGACTAAATGTGAACTATATCCAGTTTTTTTTAACCTTCTTGGAATTTAAATTAGGAATTGATAGGCAGAATTGAAATTGGAATAGTTCAAATTCAAACGATACCCAACCCTTGCTCTACGAGGGGTTATGTGTGTGTGTGTGTACCTGGCTGTGGTCGACTCTGGCTCTGTGCTGTAGCTCTGTGGTGTTTGCAGCTCTGTGTGATGGAGGTGGTGGCGTGTGATGGCTCGGGTGTTGCTGATGCTGAAGCTGCTGGTGTTGCTGGAGAGCGTAAAGCTCCTGTTGGCGTAGAAACTGCGAGCGAGGATACACAGCGGGATGCTGCATGTGGGAATGGGCCCCTCGGGCCCTGTAGACTGGAGGCCACAGGCCAGACTGCTCCATCACATCTAAGCAGAGAAACACAAGTGTTAGTCTTATCATGTGGAAGGTCATGTTAGAGATCAGGGGGAGTATTACAGAAACTTTTTATCTGAAGTTCTTCATTCGTATTACAGAAGCAAATCTTAAGTTGATTTAGGATTCTTATCCTATCTTATAAGATCTAATTTTATCTGTGGTTAGGAAATCTTAAACCCCTCCATTGTGTTCGGTTATCAACTCTCAGGTCTGTTACCAAGCAACCAACAACACGCAAACTCAAGAGATTAAAATGAAGAAACAAAGTAAGTGGTGCTTTTCATTAAAGTGAAGTTTTGATAAGCTTGGTAGAAAGGGCAAAGCCTAATCCTTTTAATTTCATATTAGTCTGTAATTATTTGTCGGCGTTTTGTCGTCAAAGTGCAGCACATCATTTGGGTGTTCATAAAGTCTTTCCCCATCAAACATCGCTGTTCTTCATTTTGTATCATTAAATAAATGTGACGACATTCTCAGGCAGGGCTATTATTAAGTGATTTTTATATTTGGCTTTTAAATACATGGGGTTGGACACCATTGGGGTTGTCCTAAAGTTAAGACCGTTTTTAGGATTTTTTTGTAGAGTTAGGATGCTTCTGTAATACCCTTTTCCTATCCGAAGTTAAGTTAAGATTTTGCACTTAAGAAATTTAATTTTGTAATAGCTTTTAGCCTAAATAGGTCCTCACTGAAACTGCCATGGTTTCCAAACAGATAAGATAGGATTATTAAAGTTAAGATCTTTCTGTAATGTGCCCCCAGAATGTTAATAAATGGGTCTCAGTTTTTAAATGGGTACAGGATAGTTTTAATTGTTTTCAAGAAGCTTTTAATGCACAAAAAAGGTTATGTGGTTTGGAAAGAACCATCTGTTTAATAAAGATATAACATCCTTCGATATCTTCATACAAATGACTGCTCCATCCCATCTAATCAGAGAAACACAAGTGTTAAGGTCCTTGCACACTGAGTCTGAAATTTTTGTTTGTGTATTTTCATATTCATCATTTGGTGGCTCTGAAATGTCAAAATACCTCTCAAAATGCTTGCTAAGGATGCGAAAAATGCAGAAAATCTAACCCCATCTGAAGTTTTTTTATGACTGACGAAAGTTTTGGAGGCAGTGTGTATAATATGATTAACATAACGTGAGATCGTATTTATTTTGTAACGTGCGAAAATTTCAGAAAAGAATAACGGTCTCAGTGTCCAAGGACCTTTAGTCTTATGTGTAAGCAAGTGTTAGAGATTACATTAATAATGTTAATATATGGGTCTCACTTAGAGATCATCCGATTAACCAGCCAACCAGCCATCAAATCAACCAACCAACCAATTAACCAGCCAACCATCCATCCAACCAACCAACCAGCCAACCAACCAACCAACAGACCAATTTACTAGCCTACCAGCCAATTAACCAGCCAACCAACAACCAATTAACCAACCAACCAGCCATCCAATCAACCAACCAATTAACCAGCCAACCAACCAGCCAGCCAACCAACCAGCCATCCAATCAACCAACCAACCAACCAACCAATTAACCAGCCAGCCAACCAACCAACCAACTAACCAACCAACCAATTAACCAGCCAACCAACCAATTAACCAACCAACCAATTAACCAGCCAACCAACCAATTAACCAACCAACCAACCAATTAACAAGCCAAGCAACCAACCAGCCAGCCAACCAGCCATACAATCAACCAACCAACCAACCAATTAACCAGCCAACAAAGCAATTAACCAATCAACCAACCAATTAACAAGCCAAGCAACCAACCAACCAACCAACCAGCCATACAATCAACCAACCAACCAATTAACCAGCCAACCAGCCATACAATCAACCAATTAATCAGCCAACCAGCCATCCAACCAACCAACCAACCAACCAACCAACCAACCAACCAATTAATTAACCAGCCATCCAATCAACTAACAACCAACCAACCAACCAGCCAGCCAACCAACCAATTAACCAGCCAATCAACCAACCAATTAACCAGCCAACCGGCCATCCAGCCATCCAACCAACCACCAACCAACCAACCAAGCAATTAACCAGCCATCCAATCAACCAACCAACCAACCAACCAATTAACCAGTCACCCATCCAATCAACCAACCAACAAATTAATCAGCCAACCAGCCATTCAACTAACCAATTAATTAACCAGCCAACCATCCATTCAACTAACCAATTAATTAACCAGCCAACCAGCCATTCAACCAACCAGCCATTTTGGTTACCATTGACTTCCACTGTATGGACATTTTTTTCCCCAAAAATATCTTATGTTCCACAAAAGACAGAAATTCATACAGGTTTGGAACAAACATTAGGGTGAGTAAATTCATTTATTGGGTGAATTATCGCTTTATTTATATTTCAAAAAATCATTGTCAGTCCAAGTATTTAAACTAAACTAAAATAAATAAATAAATAAATAAAAGTAACTCTGAGTTCAAGAAAGACCCGTCAACCAGCAATCCCACGCTCTTCTTGGAGTCTTGCTCCCTGTTCACCACTTTCGTTTTCTCACACTTAACTGCATTCCTCCCTCAGTTTTTCTCACACTAGATGTCTCCAACCCAAATGTGCAGCCTTGTGGAGCACAGCATGATATATGCTTACACCAATAAAAATTTGGTTAAAATTAAAGTCAACATAATGGAAGTGGTTCCCATTAGAATAAATATTACACAATCATTTGACAAACTATATTCACTCCCTTTCCCTTGAAAAATTCCCTTCCCTGAAAACCACAGTGGGCCAATACTCTAACATGTAGTCTAGGCGACTTCTTAGTTCCCATGTCATGGATAAACTCCTGTCATTCCCCTGGCAGGAACAAAAAAAAAAAAGAAAGCCATCCGTGCACATACACAATGACACATCTTCAGTCCCCGGAAGTCAAATATGTTTTTCTACTTTTCCCATTTCTCATAGTTTCATTAATGTGCATGTTCAGCTTGACCCCACTCTCACCCACCCCTGTCCGTGCTTTGACACGTCTCGGACCTTTGCTCCGGGACATTAACCCAGCTTAACTAATGTTTCCCGGGGGAAGGCTTTTGTGGATGCACTTCCCCTTTGAGCTGATATTTCTGTGGAGAACAGAAAGGGGCTGTTTACACGACACCGTTTTCAACTTAAAACGTATGCGTTTTGGTCGTTCGTTTACATGGAAACGGCGAAAAGAGTGCCTGAAAACGAAAACTTTTGAAAACTGTTTCGAAGTGTATGTTTTTGAAAACGATCTCCATGTAAACGGCAAAAACGTGAATCTCTGGATATCTCACATGTGTATTACGTGTTCAGTCTATAGTGTTACATCGCCATCTACTGGCCTAGCAGCAGAATACAGTGTTTTTAGCCGTTTTCGCGGATCCGTGTGAATGGGGATCGTTTTGACAATGGTGTCGTCTGTACAAGGAAAACACTTCTCCGTTTTAAGCACATCGTTGTCGTGTAAACGTACCCTCAGACATTAAAATAATTCGATTCCACAGCCTGTTTGTGGAGCAGAGGCCTGTGTGGACTCATGTTACTTCAGCTTGTTTTGAGCACATATGGCAATAGCTCTGAGGGGGATGGTGAGAGCATCCTGACCCGGACCATGTGGGAGTGGAGCAGGTGGTCGACCGGAAACTGTTTGTGCGACTCAGTGCATCACTTGCATGCTTTCGCTCTTCTTAGCAATCTCATAGGTCGTTATTCATAGCAGCTATTTAAAAAGATATGGATATTTTAATCTCCCAGGTAACAGTAATCTCAGGTCTTACTATTCTGTAAAAAACCACATCCGTATCATTTAGTTTACAAGACTTTTTTGAGTCACAAATACACTAAGATGTTTAAAGAAAAAGAATTCTCCAAAATGTTGCTCCAACTAGTCAACTTTGTTTGATGCGTTGACATTATTTCCACTGAAACAGGAAACTGAGGCGGGACATATTGAATGGCTCCTCCCCCTTTTTCAAACAGCCAATAGCGTTTCGTTTCCTCACAGCCTGCAGTCGTACTTGACGGCACCATGGAAGTGAATCCGAGCGCAGATGATACGCTGGATTCAATAGTAGAATTGAATAAATTCAAGCCATTTCATTCTTAACCAACTTAACAGAGTAAAAATGTGATTTTTTTTTATTCACAACCTTAAGGCTAACATTTTGAAATTAAAAGCTAAAAAAAAGCATGTTTTAGATGTGTGCACACTACAAAAGCGTCAATGATAAGCTTGAGTCGTGTAGTATACACTAGTATGTATAAGTAAACACTTGAAATGGACATATAACCTTGAAACCTGAGTGGAAACACTGTTATAGAGCATACGTTTTCAGGCTCGGCAACCTGACCCCATGAGAGCCTCACAAAAAGAATGAATGCTAAATCTGACAAATGGGTCATTCGCAGCAGGTCAAATAAATTGAGCATATGGAAGGGAAGGAGAATAGACTGCCTTTTTTTGTCTTGTTTCCAGTCCAAATATTAAAAAACTCATAAATCAAGTATTTACTAGATGAGAAAATTGATATAAGATTGTATATCTTGTTTTCCGGGGGAATTAATCCAAATTAAGCACGTTTTTGTTTAAAAAGAGCAAAATGATCTGCCAATGGGGTGAGAAAAATAATCTTTATTCAAACAGAAATAAGATTATTACTTTTACCCTATTGACAAATCACTAAAAACTCACTTAATTTTTTATATATATCCCCAGAAACCAAGGACTGGACACAAGACAAAAATACTAAGTAAGAAAAGCATTTTTTTGCAGTGAGGTAGAAAACATGGTGGTACATACCGAGATGTGAGGCTGGGTGTGTGGCAGGCTCACTGGGCAGCACCACCAGTTGGGCGGAGGGGTCCTGGGGCAGGGGCAGGACCGGCTGAAGTGGGGCAGGCATGGCCGCCGAAAACCCAGGGGGGAGATTCTGATGGAGAGCTGTGTGGCCAATACCTACACAAACACACCACAACTTTTAGGATACAACAGCCATGTTGGTCATGTGGTCAGTCGCATGATTGTTTGTTGTAAATACAATGTCATATGGAATAATATTCATAAATTTTGTATTTAATTTAATAATAGGAAAATAATGTTCTATTTCTTATTTCATTATTTAAATCTCATTTTTAAAAATAGGAAGCTAGATGCGAGTCTACACTATATTTGAAATCTTGCATTTTATCTCAAAAGGATGTCATTTTAAAAAATATGGAAATTAGCGGAAACAAGTTAATGCAGCCTCCTATTTACACGAGGTAAAAATAAAGCTGCTTAGTTTGTATTTTTAATTTAAAAAAAAAAAAAAAAACTTTTGCTGATCATTTACTCACCCCCATGTCATCCAAGATGTCCATGTCATTCTTTCTTCAGTCGAAAAAGTTTTATAAGCTCAAATGCTCGCCTTGGTCTGACTCGCCTGTTCGAGTCAATTTGTTCGTTTTGTTCGATGAATGAACTAAATGACTCGAAAAAAGATTTGCTCATTTTGATAGAGAGCAAGGCGACCATTTGAGCTTATAAAACTTAAACTTTGTTATTTATTTATTAAATGAGCGATCGTTTTGCTTGATAAGACCCTTATTCATCGTCTGGAATCATTTAAAGCCCTTTGAACAGTTTACAGTTTTTTGGACCTTGAACTGTTTTGTTACCAGTGAAGTCCATTATATGGAGAAAAAAATCCTGGAATGTTTTCATCAAAAACCCTAATTTCTTTTCGACTCAAGAAAGAATGACATGGACATCTCGGATAAAATTGGGGTGAGTAAATTATCAGCAAAAATTTTAAAAATTCGGCCAGGGATTTTTATGCAGGTGGAGGGAGAAAAACACTGGCAATCTGGATTCAAACTGCCATAAAATCCCTGACTAACCCTGTAAAGTTTGAAAATACCTTACGACCCCATGAAAAACAATTACAGTCCGAATAGGGCTAAAGTTGATTTTTTTTTAAAACATAAAAGTATGTCAAATATGTCAGTAAAGCAGAAAATAACAGAGCAAAATATGGGGAAAAGTTCAACGGTCTCATGCAATTCTCAACATTACTGACCATAAGAGAAGCTATTTTCTTCTAGAAACAAACTTTGTTGTATTACTTTCCTGTTATCACTGTGAAGCTTCTTTGAAATCTGTATTGTAAGAAGCGCAATGAACGTAACTTGCCTTGACTTGATTTAGAGCACCAGATAAAGCAAATTAAGTGAAAAAGACGACTAAAATGTATTTTTCCCACTTCATTGTGTTCTCAACATTACTGACCATAGGAGTGACCGGTCATCCAGAGGGAGGGACTGCCTGTGCGTGGCATCCAGTGGTGGTGCGCAGAGTGTGTGTGCGCAGCCGGGTCTCCTAACTGGCTTGACTGCATTGAAGTGCCACCTGGCACCATGATATGAGAAGTGAGGTCCCCATGGCAACTGTTAGAGGGATGGATGTGTGCAAATTCCACTCTTTCCTTGTTATCCCTGCAAAGCCAGATTGGAGACAGGTAAAAGGTCAGGGGTTGAGCAAATGTGACAAGTGAAAAAAGAAGTGTGTTTGGGGGGGATCATTCACCTGATAAACACGTCTCGTTCTCTCTCTAGGCAGCGGTGGCCCATGTGCTCTACACTTGTCCTTTTCCTCTCCTCCTCTCCTGGTGAATCTGAAGGATACATGGAGCGTGGAGTGCCTACAAAATGGTTAATACATTGACATCAATGGCTACGTTTGTTGTGACCAACTGACCAACTTTTGTTTTAATCGGACTGAAAAAGGTGTTCACATGAAGGCGTTTCAGTCCGATAGAGCCGTCAATCTGATTACTAACAGATAATTTGGTTGCATGTAAACGTAGCCAGTGATTTTCTCTCATCTGCAAATATCACTGTCATTGGCTCTCTTGCATGCAAACAGCTGTCGAGCAGCCGTTCTCTATGGTGCCATGTGTGCTCTCTCTCTTTCAGGAGTAAGAGAGGGAAAAGCTGTTTCCACTTTGGGTCTTGGCGAGTTCTGCTATTTATTTTTAATCAGTGAAGTCTTCCAGAGATCATGAATAAACAAACTGCTCTGTTTCCCTGCCTGTTGTTTGTTTAGGAAGACCCTGACAGATGAAGAAAGGTCAAGCTTACCTTTCATGTTGGAGTGGACCCGCCCCTGTCGAGCGCTGGGATGGGTGCCCGATGCTTGGCATGGGGGGTCTCTCTGTCTTGCAACAGCAACTGCAATCCCAACCGGAGGCTGTCGCACCTCGGCCTCAACATGTGGGGCTTCTCCTATCTCTCGCCCACGTCCTCCGCAATCAGCTCGCTCGTTTTCATGGCTTTGGGCTTTCCTCGAGGGTAAGGTCTGCTTGCCTCCTTGAAGAGAGCAACTGGTGCCATTTGGCCCAGTTTTGAGGCTCCCGAGCCCTCCAAACGGGCTCTTCTGGGACAGTAGGAGAGGCTGCTGGTTGCTGTACTTCAGAAGGTTCTTCATAGCACTAGTCTCTCCCTGTGAGCTTGCGACCTCCTGCTGGTTTTGAGGAGGAGCTGGATGAACCGGCGGAGGAGGAGGGGGGCCCATTCCTGCCGTCTGGTGCTGCTGTTGTGTAGGCGGTCTGTTGTTGGTAGCTCCACTGTTAGGCTCCATGTACGCTTTGTGTTGGTTCTCTTCAGAGTGGATATGATGAGGTTGCATGTCCCAATGCAGCACTGATGGCTGCTGATGTGGGTGATGGTGTGCACTGTTGTTGTAGCCGTAAGGCATTTCCATTTTCTGCTTCATCTCCTGGTTTCCATTAGCCTGGGCCATGTCTGCGCCAGGGGTATCCGGACCAGCCCTACTGTGCTGTTGGTGACGAATGCGGGCAACTTTCTGTCCATCTCGATGCATGGAGCAGCTTCCATGTCCTCCTCCACCACCCATGTGCTGGGCCATGTTCTTCCCAGCAAGAGGTGAGGGAATGTTTGGGGGCCCCGAGTGTGAGCAATCCCTGTAGGGCTGGGAACTGGTGTTGGATTGATTGGGTAAAGGATGGACAGCCTTTGTCTCTTGAGTCAGTGCCGATCTGTAGATGTCCGTTTCCATACTGTTGATGCAGTCAGCACTGCGGGAGCGCACAGTCTGGTGTTGCTGGGAATGGCTCTGCTGCTGTTGTTGTTGTTGCTGTTGCTGTTGCTGCTGCTGTAGATGATGGTGGTGATTGTGGTTATGCATCCAGTCAGGGGCTTTTTCAGCTTTTCTGTAAGAATGCTGTTGCTGGGTTGGAGGTTGTTGCTGTTGTTTCCTCGGCCAGTTACCATGATGCCCCCCATTGCCAGCCTTTTCCATTGCCTTGTCCTTGACACCGTTCCCTCCGCCGCCAACCCCCTGGCACTCGGAGCCGCCCATCTGGAAGGGGCCTCCGTTTTTCTCCCCGAGGTGGCTAACAGATGGTACAAACGTGGCTCCAGTCACTTTGGGATCTCTGCAACCACCACTATTGATCCCTTTATCATGTAAGGAAGTATTTCCCATGGGGGCTGGCGGTGGAGGACAGAAAAAGTCAGGGTGATGGTGTGAGTGGCGGTTGTGGTGTGCATGATGGGGATGGCCAGGATGGAGCTGTAGACAATGGAAACCACCGGGATGCCCCCCTCCAGCAGCTGAACCCATGGGTAGCGGAGGAGGCACCGAGTAGGACAAAGAATGGTGCAGTGTTTGACCTCGCTCAAGACAGTCCGTGGGAGTCTGTTCGCTGATCCGCATCTCCCCACTTATTGCCTCTTTACCACAGCGCCCGTTAGTGCCACCACCCAAATGTCTGTTTTGGACATTATTGGACCCTACATTACCTCTACCCACCCCATCCCCAATGCAAGAAGTCATGGAGCCCTTTGCCCCAGTCCCATGGTCCCCATTTTGCATCTTTCCATTGAGTAGACAGGCACTAAGAGGCTTTCCCATGCTTTGTGGATGCTCCTTGTATTCCATAGGTAGAGTGGCTTTGTGTCCCCTGGCATTCATCTCTTCCATAGTGACTGGATGTTGTGGGTGGAGCTGGGGTTGATGGGAGTGATGATGGGGTAGTTGGTGGTGATGGCGGTCTTTAGAATCATGTTTACTACTAGACCTGTCTTTATCCTTTGCAGCTGAAACCACACCTCTGTCTAAGCTAGGCTCTTTAAGGCCCTTGTGTAGGATCACCCCACTCCCTGCATCCCTGTCCCTGCTGCAGGAGCCCTGGGGTTGTCCTGATCCTGCCCTTGACATTGGCTGGATGTTGTGATTGGCTGATATGAGTGGGGGCTGGGACGGGAGGCTTCGTAAATAGAAGTTCTCTGTGAAACAGATTGGATATGGCTGTTAATCATTTAAATTAGTCCTCTTAAGCTTTCCTTTAGGGTTAATTTATGGAATTAGGTTGGAATTATCATATTTGAAGACTAAACTAATTTGAGTTGCAGAAAGGTAGGATAGAAAGGTAGAAGTAGAAAGGTTTTATGAAATTGTCAAAAAGAAATGCCCACCTTTTTGTGTATCATAAAAACGGTGCTGTCCATAGAGGACCCCGCTGTTGGCATGGTGATCCAAATGGCTTATGGGAAGAAAGGTGTGGGCTAGACTCCCTGAGAAGCGAGGATATCCTGGGACTGCTGTAGGGAAAGAAAAATAGTGGGTGTGAACATCAGTGGAAAGGTCCAGAGATAAAATGAGAGAATTGTATACATCGCAAGTAGAAGAAGTGAAAGTAAGAGAGTGAGAGTGCCAAGGAGAGAGAGAAAGCAATAGGGAAGGAAATCTCTGATAACAAGGCAATCACCACTGAGCCACATTTCTTTTTGGCCGTAAGCATTTTGGTCCAGATCTAATCCCCCTCTTCCAATGCAGCTGGTGTTCCATATCCACCAATAACCACAGGCTTTGGATGTCATATTTGCCATTCCTATTTGGGTTTCCAATGCAAACAACATGACGAGTTCTGTCTAGGGAAGTGAAGTAATGGATGAATTTTGTCTCCTGGACATATGGTTCACACTGTGCAAATCTCACCAAGTTCCCAGTGCCGAGTTAAGAGATAACACAGTAAAACAATAAGCAAAGAGTCCTCACAGCGGAACATGTGGAGATTTAAGAAAGAGGCCAAAGATCAACTTTACTTCAGCTGTCTCAACTCTCCAAAATCTGCCACTAGCATAACAAAGCCATGAGGACAGAATTTACAGGAAAAAAAATACCTTTTAAGCATAAGCATTTGAAGCTTAGTAGAGACAAGAAGACAATCCTGTAACCTTTAAATATATGATAAATGGTAGCCTTGTGACTTTGAGACAATAACAGTCTTCTGATTTATTATGACTTTTAAACTAAATCTAAAATATTTATGAGTACGTTACTGAGAAACAGAAAATACTATCTGATCCACCAAAAACAGTTAATCAGTTAACCTGCTGCAACCTTTTTTTTCCATTTGTGTTTACATCTGACCTATAAACTTTTATTCCAGTACTTCTGTGATAATTTCAATTATTGTAACATAAATGATACTGTGTGGTTGAAATTACAGTTTAAAATGCCAATGCTGTCAAAGGTCTGATGGATATAGGCGAATCAGTGTCTTTTAGGAACAAGATCGCGTGGGTGTTTGAATTGAGATTGTGATCTTCTAATGATTAATCGTGCAGCTCTTTCTTGCGGGTTTGGAACGCTATGAGTAAGCGATAACGGAATTTAAAAAACTATCCCTATTATACAATTCAGACTAAAGAATATAAAAAAACCTTCCAATCATATGGAGGCTTCTTTTTCTTTAGACGCACAGAGGAAGGTGATAATTGCAAGCTCGTTTTTATTCTCACTGCCCGTCAGCATTAATAAACACACTCATTTTTGCCAATTCATTTGAGAATGGAAAAAATAAGGCCCCCTTTAAACAATACATTTCTTCTGTGGGTTATGCAAAAGTGTGATACAAGCTTGCGTTATGCAAATCAGTCTTCAGCTGTTTCTGTTTTCTTTGTGTTTCTATGTGCGACACTTGGCAGCGTAATCCCGTTTCACAGTGACGTCTGGCTGGGCCCGATAGTGGCTGGTTGCCTCTCAGGGCACGTGAGCGGCACCGCTGGGCATTGCACTGCACATTCAGCCGTTAATCTGGGCAAGACAAGGGAAGGTGCTGTGCCAGCGGGCTAGACGAGGAAGGTTTTACTGCTTAGTGCTGACATTAATGCTGCTAACACTATTGCACTCACAGAAACGGCAGCTGTCTGAAGTGATTGACACCAGCTCACTCAGCACATGGAGAACTGTTATTATCTGAGCGAGATGCAACTGCAGCTCACTGTAGGATGTTCACCGGCAAAACCTCCTCCAAATCAGCGAAAAAAAAGAGGCTCACTGCAGATCAACAGCACACAAAGAACTTATCAGGACCATAATACATTTGGAAAACCATATAATTGGTTTTGCCATAGAACGCTGCCTTGAATTTCTGACAGGTTCAGTCCTCTTGCAGCAACCTGAGATTAAATGCCTTGCTCACAGATCCAATTGTGACCAAATGGTGATAGCTTAAGGCTGTTGACTTGAATCAAGGATGTAAAATTAAAAATGGAATCTGAGGAGGTAGTTATAAGATTGAATTGAGGCTTTTATTTAAATATAATCGTCAGCGAACACAAACAGAAGCTCAACCATACTTGTTTGATGCACGAAAACAATGAGAATGAACCTCATTGGTTCTCGTCGAAGCTCAAACGTGCTGTGTAGCACGAGAATGAACCTCATTGGTTCTCGTCGAAGCTCAAACGTGCTGCGTAACACGAGAATGAACCTCATTGGTTCTTGCTGAAGCTCAAATGTGCTGCATAGCACGAGAATGAACCTCATTGATTTTTACTAAAGCTCAAATGTGATGCGTATCACAAGAATGAACCTCATTGGTTCTCGTCGAAGCTCAAACGTGCTGCGTAGCACGAGAATGAACCTCATTGGTTCTCATCGAAGCTCAAACGTGCTGCGTAGCACGAGAATGAACCTCATTGGTTCTCATCGAAGCTCAAACGTGCTACGTAACAGGAGAATGAACCTCATTGGTTTTTACTAAAGCTCAAATGTGCTGCGTAACACGAGAATGAACCTCATTGGTTCTCATCGAAGCTCAAACGTGCTTCGTAACACGAGAATGAACCTCATTGGTTCCGTCGAAGCTCAAACGTGCTTCGTAACACGAGAATAAACCTCATTGGTTCTCATCGAAGCTCAAACGTGCTTCGTAACACGAGAATGAACCTCATTGGTTCTCATCGAAGCTCAAACGTGCTTCGTAACACGAGAATGAACCTCATTGGTTCTCATTGAAGCTCAAACGTGCTGCGTAACACAAGAATGAACCTCATTGGTTCTCATCGAAGCTCAAACGTGCTTCGTAACACGAGAATGAACCTCATTGGTTCTCATCGAAGCTCAAACGTGCTTCGTAACACGAGAATGAACCTCATTGGTTCCCGTCGAAGCTCAAACGTGCTTAGTAACACGAGAATGAACCTCATTGGTTCTCATCGAAGCTCAAACGTGCTTCGTAACACGAGAATGAACCTCATTGGTTCTCGTCGAAGCTCAAACGTGCTGCGTAACACGTGAATGAACCTCATTGGTTCTCCCTGAAGCTCAAACCTGCTGCGTAATATGAGAATGAACCCTCATTGGTTCTTACTGAAGCTCAAACGTGCTGTGTAACAACATTGGTTCCTTTGATAAAAGCCTAAATTCAATCTGTTCATCACATAAAGTCATCGTGTCTTTTCAGAAAACGTGGACTAAACCGCTCAATTCATATGGATTAGTTTTACGATCCCTTTTTGAACTTTTTGAAGCGACAAAGTGGTAGTTTGTCATTGAAGAGAAGAAAATCTTTCAAATTTAATTACAAATATCTTCATATGTGTTTCGAAGATAAAAAAAAAGACTTAAAGGTTGGGAACAACATGATTGACAGAATTGTCTTGAGTGTTGTGCTGAATTTCGTCAAGTTACAATTCAAATTGTAGCTTAACAACCTGTGGGCTGTGGCCAATACCAATTCATGAGTCCTCTCTTAAACCGGTTAAAAGATCACCTATCATATGAGCTAATTCCCAGGCAAATAAAGCTGGCTCTTTGAAGAGAGCTGGAACTTCAGCAAATGCTAATGGTACACAATTCGCACATTCCTGTTAATCCTATCTCTCAATCTACTTGTTCGCACGGACAGCCGATCGTTCTCCCGGCGTCTGCACATGACAGCGCATACAAGCGTATGCATCTGTAAATAGCCCAGGGTAAATTGTTTAAGGAGAGACGGAGAGGGGCAGATAAAGCTGCCTGTCGAGATTGCAAATTGAGAAGAAGTGACAGAGTAGTACAGAAATGGCAGAGGGGGAAGAGGAAGGCAGGAGGATGGGAGGAGGTGAATGTATTTGTCAGGGCTGCTAATTGAAAGGAAGTGATGGAGCCTGACAACAATGGAGGAGGGGGAGGAGACGGTCTTCAACAGACAGAGGAAAGACATGATTGGATTGAGAGAGATGAAACAAGTGAAGCATGAGGGCTATAAAGAGACAGAGCCATCATCAGGGTGTCTGAACATGGGGTTCCCCGATGGAAATTGCTTCATCCAACATTAGACAACATCAGCAACCATCACTTTATAAATCAACATAGCTATACACGTGCTAAACGTTTGCTAATGTGGCAATACAACTCATGTCGAATGATGAATGGTGGACAATTGTTTTCTTTATCTAGAATTATTAAGAGAATTGATTGTTATTAGAGGCGTAACGATCCCCTCGTGTCACGACTCGATACATATCACAATACTGAATTCATGATACAATATTATTGCGATAGTCCAAGACATATGATAAAAGGTTAACAAAATTGTGTTACATTGTGTGTGACATTGCATTATTATACATTATATTCCACATTAAATATAGTAGTTTAAGACACCAAAACTCTGATTTATTTATTTTTTGGGTGAACTATCCACAATGCATATTTTTGTATTGCGATATATTGTGACATGACATATTGTTACACCCTTATTTGTTATACATTTTAAGTCTGACCATTGCATCAAATGCATTTTGTGATGGTATAACAACACTGAACCAAATGATGTTAAAATATCCCAATTTGAAAGACTCTCCAACAAAGATGGGATTGTTATGTCACTATTTGGCTCTTGAGCCAGTAGAAAAAAAGAGAAAAAAGCTGTTAAGAGAAATATTTGGGAGATGTTTGCAGATTCCCCACCCAAGCACCGGCTCTGGCACAAGAACCAGCAGAGTCTCAAGAGAACAGAAACGGTGTAGTATAGGAAAGAGATAGCAGGACAGCAGAGGATGGCAGCCTCTGTTTGGCACAGTTAAAGCTGTCATTTGGACACAGACCAGCTGGCAATGGGCCGGTTAGGCTTCCCCTATGTTTCTGTATTTCAGTTCCCCCCTCCAACAATAGAAATGTTCATGAGCTGGAGTTATCCGAATGTATGCTGTTGAATTAATAAGTACAGTTATGGCATTATGTGGTCATGCATAAAGAGATTAATATAGTTGCAGTCGACTTCGAAGTCCAAAAGCAAAGTTAGTGTTTTAGACAGTAAGGATGTGCT